TTCGTGGCAGGTGGCTTACGCTCCTGGAATCTGAAGTTTGCATACAATACTGGAGCAAGAATTTGCTGTTAAAAGCAGAGTCTGGGCTAGAAGAGATGGTGACAGAGGGAAGCATCTACCAGGAAAGTCATCTGTAAATGGACTGCAGGGGATTCTAGCCATTCATTTCCTGTGACTTCAAATACAAAGCAAAGTAACAGCAACAACAACAAATCAATGACAGACTTGGTAGAATCACTGCACAAACAGCTTGCATGGAAAAATGATTTGGAGTGTGCTTTAGAGAAAAGAGCACTATGCCCTACAGTATGTTTCTCCTAGTTCAATGTCTTTCTAAATGGAGTGGTTATTAAAATGCTGAGTTGGGGGCATCCTGCTCCAGATTTACCAAATTGGTCTCCAGAAGAGTCAACCTAAGGGAATCTGCATTTTTGATAAGTACCTTGGGGTGATTCCTAGGTTTGAGAACCACTAAAGTGGTGTTTCACGCTTGACAGTAGATTAGAAGCACCTGGGGAACTTTAAACAGTACTGGAGTTTGAGCACAGCCTGAGACCATTTAAGTCAATCTCTGGAGTGGTGCCTAGGTATGGGTGTTTTAAGTTCTCTTCATGATTTAATATGTAGTCAAGGTTTCAAACTCATTGCCTACAGTCTGATTCCAATAAGAGAGATTTCAACTGGTCAAGATGGGCAAATATCCTATTTTTTCCTCAGGGGGCTTTGAATACCATGTATCTGTTCTCTCTACAGCAGACTCCCATATCTACCTGTTCATGCACCATCTTGCCTTGGATGTCTAACAGCCATCTCAAGTTAACATTAACATTGAGATGTTAACAGATATTAACAATGTTCACAAACTTAATAGTATTTAAAATTAAAGTGATTTCTACCTCCTAAACATGCACTTCTTCATCTCAGCAAATGGCAATTCCATTCTTCCAGTTATTTGGGCCACTCTTTGGAGTCTCTCACATTCCATGTGTCATCAGCAAGTCCTGTCAATTCTACCTCTGAAATATTTCTGGAACACGCTCTCTTGTGATATCCATTGCTACTACCCTAGTCCAAGCCAGCATCCTCCATCGACGGCACTGTTCCAACAGCCTTCTACCTGGTCTTCCTGCTTCAACTTCTTTCCTATGTTCTATACTGCACACAGCAGCCCAAATGGTCCTTTTTAAAAACTTTTATTGTGATAAAATACACATAACATGAAACTTACCATTTTTAGGTACACAACTCAGTGCTCAGTGGCATTAAATACATAATGTTATATAACCATTGCTACTATTTCCAGAACTTTTTCATCATCCCAGAGTGATCTCTTTAAAACATAGGTCAAAGCACGTCACTCTTCACATCTCACTCAGTGAAGGACCAAGTCCTTCCTGTGGCCCCAGAGCCCTTCTGCTGTCCTCTCAACACTCATCTTCCCACTCACCCTGGTCACCGACAAAGTGCTCCTGCTTTAGGACCTTCACACCTGTTTTTCCCTTTGCTGGAATGCTCTTTCCCCCAGATACCCTTGTTGTATCCTCATCTCTTCAGATCTCTGCTCGGATATCCTCTTGTTAGAAAGGCTTTCTCTGATACCCTTTCTAAAGTAGCACCACACCCCAGTTATTCTCTAGCCCCACTGTGTTCTTCATGGCACTTATCCCCTAACATAGACAAGTGCATCTTCCCCACTAAAATGTCTGAGCTCTGTGAGAACAGGGACTGCAAGAGGTGTTCTAACTGCAGTATCCTCAAACAAGTGCCTTCCCAGAGTGGGTGTGCAATAAATACTGG